TATTAATTTCACTTGGTGACCCCTAGTTCTTGTGTTACAAGAAGGATAAATAACACTTCCTTATTTATTTTCTGTGTTCAAAGACAAATAAACAATAGGGAATAAAGGGAAGTTTGGGGAAATCTATGCAATAACAGCTTGTGAAACTGACTATTATACAACAAACTAAAGAGAGAATGTTCCTCTGGATTTAAAAATGAAACAGGGTTTACTGATTAACAGAGTTTCAAGGTGACTGCAATGGTCTCGGTAAATCTGTGATTGCATCCTGTAATCCTAGCCTCTAAGGGTATGTCTACACTGCAGTGAAACTTCAGGGTTAATAGAACTTGAGTTATCAGATTGTAGGTTTGTTAACATAGGGCTTGCACATCCACACTCTTGTAAACCTAGGTTCGGAATTGTTGGACCCCGAATCCCAACCTGAGCATCCACACCATATTATACGGATCCAAGTCCCAGACATTCTAATCCTGGCCCAAAATGAGGCTGCTCTAGTTCCTTCTTTGTGGTTCAGTGGGGGAAAACCTGACTGGCCACCACAGCTGACTGGCCAGGTGAACACTCCTTTTTCCAAAGAACCCTGTATACCTCATTTTTTAAGGAAGAAGGGTTTTTTCGAAATGGGGGGGTCTTTAAAAAAAACCTGTTTAAACTGCTTTCGCTTTCCAATCCAATCTTCCAATAATGCGATTGGAAGAAGATATGCAAATTATCTCTGAATTTGCATATTTTCTTTCGACAGATGAATGTAATCTAGATGTACCCTCAGGGAACACATCACATCAGTGCCCCAGAAACTGCACTGGTTGCCACAAAGTGTATCAGGAGAGAACAACATCTTGGAACCCAGTCACCTGAGAAATAGTCTCCTTCCATAGAACGTTGTTATAGTACTGATCAGTGGAGGTGCTCAAATTGGAACCCCAATCACTTTAAATGGAAGAGGGCTCATGGCAAAGCATTCCCCAGGAAAGACCCTCACATCTTTGGAAGTCACTTCCCTCCTTGGTCCACTACAGACTGTATATTTTTAGGTATGCTGCAAAATGCACCTCATTTGCAAGCTGTTCAAGTGGATCAGGGGACAGCTAAAAATGGGTTTGATTCAAGACTGTTACTGGGGTTGTCTGGTGGCTTTGTTCTAATACTAGAGTGTTGGCAGCTCATAACCTTGGCCATTATCTTAATATTTGTCTGCTGTGGAAAGACTCCCTAGATTAGCATTATAGAATCAGAATTTAAATAAACATTACTGAAAGTCTTGTCAGCATATAGAGAGGGACCATTAGCTAATAAAGAGCTAAAAATCCATTCCATAAAGATGCCAGTGGACAGCAAGTAAGACAGAACTTAGACACTCATGCTGGTCTCAAAAAGGAAAGCCTACCTGAGGAACCTTAAGGCAATTATCTTAAGGTTAATGTGTTTCCCTAAAACTGTTCACCTGGTACATATTTCCTACTCCCAACACATTTGCTCCCTCTTCCTCTTTGATAAATGAAAACTTGAACACAATCGTTCAGTGGCCAAACGTGCTTTCTTTTAAGACTCTATACACAAAAAACTCTGGGTCAAATCACCCTTTATTAGCAGCTTTGGAGGTGACCTTTAAAAAAAAAAAAACCTCTCCCAGTCCTCTCTCTATTTTGTCCTTAGAGAGACCAATTTGCATTTTGAATTACAGAAGCATTTGAATCAATACACAAATCTCACTAGTAAGTGAAGAGATATTTTCCAGTTAATACTCTGAAAATTAACATAGCATGTCTTTACTGCTCACTTCTATCTCCTATATTATACCCATTAAGACCCACCATACATTTCCCCATAAAACATGCTAAGAAGATCACATCTAGGCCTCTGGCTTTTTCTTTAGCTCCCAGGAATAATTTCAATATGTGCTGCTAATGTGCACTCTAGTTAAAGTAAATCATTGAACTGTACTGAATTAAAATATGAAGACATGTATAATAACCTTGTGTATTAGAATTAGAACAGAAGACCCCTCATTATAATTAAATATTGCCTATTAATATATTACAATTAAGGAAGTTGGGGTTTTTTTAAACACCACATTTGGGGACAAATGATGATCTGAGTTACAATTCAGAAGAGACGCTGGATTAAGCAGTATTATGCAGGCAGTCTCAGAGTAAAATTTCACCATGTACATAGTAACAAATAACACCACTTGCAAAGGATACACTGGCCAAAATCATGAGATTTCAGTGTAAAGACCTAGAACTCAAGAGGACACTTGGTACACATGGTTGAATGCATTCACTAAAGAACTCCTACAATGCACAGGCATAATTTAACACAAATAAACTTGCTTATTACTTGCATGTTCAAATGTTCTAATTAAATAGTGCTTGCTTTGGTCAATACTGTGGTGTGACTGTGGTCAGAATTCTGTCACGCCTAGAGATGCAGATGTTATAAATTGTTTACATTCTGGCTTTTTAAAATCCTCAACATCTGTTGAAAGAGAGAGTCCCAAGGTTACCTAATCTGCCATGACTTAACAACATTTTGACTTTTTTTAAAGCAGTGTAGCAAACTCCACATCACTTCAAACTTGTAATTTACTGCCTGTCTGAAAACTCACATATGCAAAACTTAAAAGAAAAAAAAACACAAGAAAATAACAGATTTTTTTAAACAGAATGAAATTTTCTGGAATGTCCTTTTTATTATTTGACCAAGTTATGTTTAATTAGCTCAAAATATCTGAAAACAAACATTTCTCTGCAAGGATTAATACTTCAAAACTCTGCATATTATTCTAGGAAGTGAAAGAGTATAGTTAAGACTGGGGACCAAGATTCCAGGTTCCAGTATTCTACTCTAATCTCCACTCTTCTTACCTGCAAAACCTAGGTCATTTAATCTCTATGTGTCCCAGGGTGTCCATCTGTAAATAATAGGTAAAAGTATTTACCTCATAGCAGTGCTGAGTGGCATAATTAATGTTTCTAAAGCACTTTGCAATCTTTGGATGAAAGGAGCCATAAAGTGCAAAAAAAAGTTCTAGAAAGTAAAAATTCTCATGGTTAAAACCACTATTGTTCACCAATGGAAAGTCAGCAGATGATTCATCCAAAGCACTGGAAAACCGTACTCCTACCATAAATTACTATCTTAAAAAATATAGAACTCTAATTAGATTAAGATTTCTTATAATATTAAAATCTTATTCATAATTACCCTTAGTCAGTCCACAAGAATATTCCGAATTACTTTTTTTAAAATTGAAAGTAGGCCAGAATATAACTCTTCCACTAATATTTTAGACCAAATTTAAACAAAATCCATATTTATCCTACAATCATTACATCCTAAATAGATTAACTCTGTGGTCATAAATGAAGAAGGGGGTAATAAAACATCTTCTAGGCTTTGTGTTCTGGAGCCATGTTTGTGTGTTTTTTTTCAAGATCACAGGTTTTGGTTGTGTAAAAGCAATAGCAAAACTAGGTGAATCGATCCAAGTTTCATTTTATTCTAAGGATGTTAAAATGTGTTTATCTGTATAAACGTGAATCTGCTGAAATTTTCAGCAGACGCATTTACACACTAGGGCTAACAGAAAAGCTGGACCAGGGATGTTGCCGTACCAGAAAGTGCCAGACTAGAGAGGTTCAACCTGTATCATTCCTCCCACAGAATACCACCTTTACAAAACAATAGAGAGTAAAACCTATCTGTGCCTTGCACATGCCTCTGTTTTAGGTTGCCGGATATGCCTGTGTTTGGTATTGGAGGCCTCTACTGTTTCAGCTACCTGATTACTTAAAGGAGCTTAATAGCTTCTTTCAGCTGCTCTAAATGGAAGGTGGTAGTTACACTTCCCTGTATCTAGGAGCTATAGCCCAACCCATGGTAATATGAACTAGAGTTCAGAAGGGGTTGGATCAAAAGTTACAGGTTTGGCCTAGCTCTATAAAAATACAGCAGGATGTACTAATATGGATAGGTTAGTATATCCGTACAAAAATGCTCATCTTTCTGGTTTTTAAATTTTCCATGTACAGTGGATGAATGCTGGAAAAAGTCTTAAAGTTCACGCCTCTACAAGCTTTTAATGCATCTACAGTTACACCTCAACTACAGAATTTGTTCCCGGAACTGACACAGCAGATCCTTTTGACTAAATTTAATGTGCTGATCTTTACATTAGTATTGGCGTTAGGGATGTCAATGTTTAAGCAATGGCCTGGCTAGGCTGGAGCAGTCCCCACCCACCCCATTTAAGCAGTCAACCGGTTAACTGGATTAACTGGATTTTACATCCCTAATTGCCACTAAAAAAAATAAATGATCTACTGACAAGTGTAGTCTGTGATCACTGGCAGACTTTTCAGTACTGTATAGATGCAATTTTTAGAAAGTTCAGAGTGTGCTCATTTACATAAATAGCATCATGTTACTCCACGGATCTAGCAAAGTATCAGTAGCTTCTGAACTCCAAGTTTAAAAAATGCCACAACTGGATTCTTCTTCCTCTTCTTCCACCTCCTCAGAGCACACATAAGTTAAGAGAAGCTGTTAGCAAAGTCAGTAGAAGCAACCTAAATGTTGTGGGACTTCTGGACCACACTAATGCACTCATATCACTCAAACAGAGGCACAAGGAAAAGGTACTGGCATTCAGTGGTGGTAGTTTGGTTCAATAATTAGCATGCAATACAAACCATCTTTTTTTTTTCCTTTTAAATAGCTGTACTCAGTGCCTCTCTCGGGTGAAAAATAATCAAGCTTTAAAGTCATTCAATTTCAGTAAATGCTTTTGATCTTTTGTAGTGTCCTGTTACTAATCTTCCACTGATGAAGATATATGCAAAATCTTAAAATGAACAACAGAGCCTTGTTCTAGTCAGACACAGATGCATTACAGAATCCTATAGGTCACAGCAAGAGTAAATCATTTCCCAATCTCATATTATAAAAAAAACACTGATTAAAAGCACAAAATACATCCACTGTTATTTTCTTACCTGATAAGGAACAATACTGCCATGAGCAGTACCCCACCGCTTTCCTTCTATTTTGCAATTAAGATAATTAGCTGCTATATGGGTAAGACACGCAACCTAGAAGAAAAGGTAAAGGACAACACTTCAGGGAGACATCAACCTTTCCTGGCATTTTCTTTGATTTTTAAATCTGTCAGACAACTGTCCTCATCTTACTTTAATTCACATTTCACATACATTCCATACATCAATTAGGACTTGTGTGAGTGAGTGCTATTCCATGAACAGGCCAAGTAAACAGCTTCCATTAATTCTAGTCAACGTCACTTAGCACATCTATAGCACTTCAAAGTAGTTTAAAAGCGTGAACAAAGTAAGCATCAAACAACCTTATGAGGTCAAGAAGTATTATCATGACTATTTTGCAAAGAAAGCTTCAATGCCCAAAGACAAACAGGAAGGAGTGACAGATCTGGGAATAAAACCTACATTTCCTGACTCTTATTCTTAGGCTTAAATCACAAAATAATCCTTCCCTATTACAGAATTATCCTTTTCTATTCCCCATCCTTCTCCTTCTACTATATAGGCTAAGCCACAGAAAACATTTCAGGATACTATAGCTCACCACATGATCTGTAATATTAATGATGCAGCAAACCTCAATAAATCATTTGCCATCAGAAGATGAAGAGATTTATTAAGTTGTTACTCAAAGACAAAGTTGAAAAAGGTTAATTCTATAAAAATATGTGATGCTAAATTTAGTAACCAGAATCTAAGGGGGTGAATCTGAAAGTAATTTGCACTTTACAATAGCAAAACTGTACTTTAGAGGGAAGAAAGGTTAACATCTATGATGTGGTCATGCCTGAAAATCAGAGGTTCTCTTGCAATTAATGGCAGATTTGCCACTAATTGGAAGAACGCAGGATGTGACTATTAAGTTTGTAACTATATGTCTGCAATCCAAACAATACATTAGATCATTACTTTCATCAAGGTAATGTGAAGGCTATGTAATTTTAGACTAACTTTCTAAAAAAATACTCTTTAAATTGCTAATAATGAGTCATTTCATTTTAACAGCAACTATTTATTTTAGACAATATTTTATGGGGCAAATTCCAATTTTCTTCAGATTTCTTCCCCAGATGTGTGCAAATTAACACTGTTTTCAAAATGGCCTGTATTCCAATGACCATGAGGCCTTTGCAACTACCCATACAAATTACAGCTAACAGAAGCAACAGGGATTAATGGGGTCTGCACTAAAGCACATAGCCCATGTATTTACTTTAAGCACCTTGCAATATAGTGTTGCGCAAGACCGTGAATTATAAAGCGCCTCAAAGCAAGAAGCCACAACTCTCTCCTAACTTGGCTCTTTTCCCACACACACTGAAAGGACAGCTAATACGGTCTCTCTATATTTAAAGAGAAAAGCAACAGAATGGTGGAACTGCTGCCCACACAAGACATGCAGCCCTAATTTATTCATAATGCAGACCATCAGAACACATAGAAAAATATAAAACAACTGAGTATTCAGTTACTTGCCAAAAGCTTTGGTAACCCACATAAACCCAACTCCAAATACAATACAATTATCTATATCTTTTGTAAAATACACTGTTTTTATTATCCGTGTACTGTCCAGAAAGGATACAATAACTAGATTTCATCTGAACCTACCACATCTCTCTGTGACTTTGACATGTCCAAGAGGTAAACAAAACCTAGCCACAGGGGGGTAGTTGTTAAGTCTGTAACTTAAAACACAAGTAGTCCAGTAGCACCTTAGGGCACGTCTACACAGCAGGGCAAAAGTTGAATTAAGCTACACAACTTGAGCTACATCAGCTGTGTAGCTGAAGTCGAAATAGCTTAATTCAGCTTTTGGTGCTGTCTACATAGCAGATGATCAAAGGAAGAACACTCTTCCTTTGACTTCCCTTACTCTTCATAAAAGGAGTATTACAGGAGTCGAAGAAAGAAGTCCTCCAGCTCACCTTTATTTCAAAATGGCTTGCTGTGAGGACACATTCTTTGTTATTATGGAATAACATTAGTGTAGACATACCCTTAGAGACTAACAAAAATATGTCTATAGCATCATGAGCTTCTGTGGGCTAAATACTTCCTAGTTGGTATTTCATCAGGAGACACCTTCCCCCAGTGGAAAACCTAGGTGATGTACAAACTGACACCGGTGATTCAGAGGTGGTACTCTTCACGTAATGGTGATTCAGTAGATGGTTCATCACTCATGTTCCAACAACACGTGAAGAAACACTGTATTGTTACAGGTGTCTTTTCAATTAAATATAAAACCAATGTCCTAAGGACTTGTGACAGTAGGTGTTTTAGCTCCAGTGCACTAAACATTTTTCCAATTTCCCTAGCAAAATTCCCCCTGAAACTGCACGATTCTGGAATTCTTCCCCTATTCCTGTCCCAAAGCGTTTTCTTCGTTATGGTACAAAGTTAGACTCCTGCAGTGCTTCACACTGAGAAGTGATTACATTTTATTGTAGAGGAGATGTATAGTATAGGCCATGACAATTAAGCTCGCAACCAAGATTTATTTTACACATTTATCTTTTCTCAGGAATAACATTTTCCCCAAGAAACTAACTTGCTGAAGTCTAAGAAAGAGATGGAGGTGAGGGGTATTAAATCCTGGACTTGTTGAAGTCACCAGTAGTTATGCCATTGCCTTTAATAGAGCCAGGATTTATATTCCCCATAGAAGAAATATTTTTCAAGAACTGGATGTTAGAGGGGGGGAGCCGCTTTTAAATGTTTTACAGCGTCTTCCAATTTTTCCCAGCCTCCCCTAACAGATTAGTAGAAATGGGGCATTTAACAGTGAATGTCAATGAAAATCAAGTAGGATCACAGACTAAAATTGGGAAAGAACAAGTTAAAAATTACTTAGACAAAATAGAGGTCTTCAAGTCACCAGAACCCAAAGAAAGACATTCTAAAATACTCAAGGAGCTGATTGAGGAAATATCTGAACCTTTAGCGATTATCTTCAAAAAAACATGGAAAATGGGAGAAATTCCAAAGAACCAGAGAAAGGCAAATATAATGCCAATCTATAAAAAGGGGAATAAGGACAACTCGAGGAATTATAGACCAGTCATATTAACTTCAGAACCCAGAAATATAATGGAGCAAATAGTTAAACAATCAAAATTTGCAAATAACTAGAAGATAATAAGGTGTTACGCAATAGCATGGATTTGTGAAGAGCAAATAGTGTCAAACCAAATTAACAGCTTCCTTTGACAGGATAACAAGACTTGCAGATAAGGGAAAGCAGAAGATTGGTATATCAGATCAATGGTGGGAAATAATTTTTTTTTATATCAATGGTGGGCAATAATTTTTGAACAGCTGGTGGCTCCCTCTAGGTACCCATGCCCCTGGTAGTGGGAGGAGACTTCACATGCTCCCCCCCTCTTCTGCGCCCAGGTTAGTCAGGGCCCTAGGGAGGGGAGCAGATGAAGTGTCTTGCTCCCTGCCCCCACCCTGCAAGGAAGCGCCAGGCTTAGAGTTAGCAGCAGTTGGTGGTTGACTTTAAGTACTGAGCCCCTTCAGGGCAGGAGAAACTTCACCCGCTCCTCCTTCCCCCAACCCCTGACTCGCCTGGGGGCAGGGGGAGCGCGCAAAGTCTCCTCCCACCCTGTCAGGGGTGCAGTGCCTCTAAGCACTGTACACTCCTTTCAGGATGGGGGCAGGAGACTTCACATGCGCCCCCACCCCCAGGCCCTGATTGGCCTGGGGGCAAGGGGAGCAGCAGGGCCGCCGCTAACCAGATCAACTTGTTTGGCAGGCCACATCCGGCCTGTGGAGGCCCTTTTTCCCACCCCTGCTTTAGATAAGCTCTAGCATGACATTCTCACAAACAAACTAGGAAATACAACTAGATGGAGCTACTATAAAGTGGATGCATAACTGGTTGAAAAACCACACGCAGGAAGTAGTTAGTGGTTCACAGTCAAGCTGGAAGGGCATATCAAGAGGTGTGCTGCAGGGATCAGTTCCGGGGTCCAGTTCTGCTTAACACCTTCATTAATGATTTACACAATGGCAGAGACAGTACTCTTATAAAGTTTGTGGATGATATCAACCTGGGAAGGTTGCAAGTGCTTTGGAGAACTGGATTATAATTCAAAATAATCTGGACAAACTAAAGAAATGGTCTGAAATAAGTAGACTGAAATTTAATAAATACAAAATTCAAAGAACTCCATTTAGCAAGGAACAATCAGTTGCACACATGTAAGAGGGGAAATGACTGCCTAGAAAAGAGCAGTGTGGAAAGGGACAAATATGAGTCAACAGCGTAATACTGTTGAAAAAAAGCAAACATCATTCATGAGGCATTAGCAGGAGTGTTGTAAGCAAGACACAAGAAAATTCTAATGCTCTAGTCCACAATGATTAGGCCTAAGATGGAATACCGTGTCAAGTTCTGGGTGCTATATTTCAGAAAGGACGAGGACAAACTGGAGAAGGTCCAGAGAAGAACAACAAAAATGATTAAGGCCTAGAAAACATGACCTATGGGGGAAGACTGAAAAAAATGGGTTTGTTTAGTCTAGAGAAGAGAAGATTGAAAGGGGATGTGATAACAGTTTTCCAGTACATAAATGTCATTAACCTCTGAGGATAAGGCAAGAAGCAATGGGCTTAAGCTGCAGCAAGGGAAATTTAGGGTGGATATTAGGAAAATCTGAAATACAAGGATTACTGACAGTTTCTCTCAATATTGCCTGGATCTTCATCAGCAAAGCTGCTGGGAAAAGACTTTTGTGTCAGTCCAAAAGGGTCCAGGAACTCTGTGCAATTTAGCAGAGCTTTCAATGTACTTGAAGCTAGAAGTTGCCCTCATCCCGACTGAGGCCCTGACTCAGCAAGAGACTTAAGCATGTGCACAATTTTCACCACTGAATTCAATAAACTATTCTTAAGGGGAACGTTGCACACATGCGCAAATATATTTGCTAAATTGGGGCTTGAATTACATGAGGGGGAAGTTTTCAAATGGGGCCTAAGGGAATGAGGGAAAGTCATCTCCCACTGACTTTCAATACAAGTTGGGC